CCTTCTATCCAAAACTGAAAACCGCAGGTCTCTAGCTGTTTCCTAGCCGAAGTTATTCAACTTACAACCGACTGCACTGTTCATTGAAATGGATATTAGTTGATCAAAGCAGACCTATTGCTATTCCTGATTTTACGAATACGTTTAATTCTTGGTCGTTGTATTAAAATATCATCATAGTTTCAGTTGTTTACTTTATTTATTTCCATAAAGATAAGATAATAATAAATTTTTGCACAAAATAGCAAATTAAAACAAAGCGACTATATAAAACTTTTCATATAAGAAAGACTTGAATTAAGGCAATGTTTTTAATCATATCAATTGTGTTTTGCACAATCGAAGAAATGCAATCACTATAGCACAAATAACATTGAATTGGGCCGGTAACGAGGCAATAAAAGAAAATGCACAACGCATACGTAAGAAACAAGACATTATTATAAAAATAAGAAACGACATTTACATTAGACAATTAGTTTTCACAGCAGTACGAGCACAGAATTTATTATCGAATTGTTTTAGATCTAAACAGGTTCTTCTGTTGATCAATGCTTGTTGGATTCGAATAAATTTCTCAATGTACTCTCAAATAGTAAGGAGTTACATCAACAATTGGTTTCCAGAATGTAAGAGTCAGATCAACTACTTCGATTTAGCCTTGCCTGGTTGACAACAGACCAGGCCGACAGCTCTGGTTAGGGCTACACCACTTCTAGTAACTAGTGCCTATTTAGCTGGTTCAGCAGTATTTGATTTTGTTTCGAGGTCATTTTAATCATATCAGCTTAATGTTACGAAAATACTGGTAGGTATGGTTGATTTTTTTTCCCGTTTACTGATTTCATACTGATGCATGCCTAAATCGCTGCTAGTTATCATACAAAACATTCTTTTCTCTCCTAATCAATAAGTTTTTCCTTCCACTCTTATTCACAAATGAAATTTATTTTGTTACAGTTTTTTAATCGCTTCAGTTCGCTCTAATATGCCATATGGGTACGAGATCTCTTCGATTGTTTGTGCTTGTTCAACGGCTTTTTATTTATTTACCGGCAAAGTCAGAAAGCAAAAAAGTTCTCATCATTAAAATAGTTGCTAGTGATTTTTTAATGGCTTGATAGGCATCATGAAGAACTCTACTCTATTAGGTAAATAATTAAGTTAACCGTGCTGATAAGTATTAGATCTGACATGTGCTAATATCAAATGATGTGTACCTATTGCTAGAAGACTATTAACTAGAGCCCGGCGTGACCAACTTTTTTGGGCCCGGGCACGTCACGGTCAGGAGGGGTTGGTCACGGTCACGGTGGGCTCAGACCGTGACCGTGGGTCATGGCCCTTCTTTCTGGTTCCTCAATATTAAAAAAACTTTCCAAAAAGAGCTACTGCAAAGTTTTCGTTTACTATTAAAAGTGATGACCGCGGGAGCTTGGAGTAGCTTCGTGGAGGAACTCGTAGTCCCCCTCAGGGTTTCCAAAATCGCAAATACTAGAAATTTCCCAATTTTTCATAAAAAACGATGACCAGAGGGGGTAGCTTCGCGAAGCTCACCTATCCCCTCAGGAGTTTCCAAAATTTCGAAAAAGTTCCCGTGACTGGCCGTGACCAAGCTTCAGTCACGGTCACGGTCACGGTAACGATCACGATCTTTGAAAAAAGTCACACACAGTCACGGCCGTGACCGTGACTCCCATGAGTCACGGCGGTCACGCCGGGCACTACTATTAACGTTGATCTAGAAAGTTTGTATTATGAAAATGAAAGAATAAACAAAGTTTTCGTGAGAAAAAATCTTTTCTCGTAATATAGTCTTCAGTATAGGAATTATTATGACAGAAAATGTAACAACTGAATCAATAAAAGATTTATGGGCAATCATATCTGTTCTTGAACATATTCATTATCTTCTTTCTGGTCAACTTTGTTACTGTTATAAAAATTTTTTTTCTGAATGAATTAAATAGAACATTAATTTTATTGCTGACTAAATATGACACATAAATAACTATTGCTTATTATTAAACGAGGAGAGAGAGGAAGAAAAAGAATATAAATATACAACAAGTTTTCTTGTACTAGAAATTGCATAGTGTGGAAAATAGCACTTGGCGATTAACTACCACATAATTATCATTCATAATTGTATGAGAAATAACTCACATGTTTTTATTAAATCATTTTAAAGTCCATCTTTTTGGAATGCCCATGATAACCATCGCACGTGTAACGGTAGATCTATTAGACAATCATTATAACATACCAGCAACCGAATTATATCTAACGGTGATTCATCATTAGCCTCTGGTATTATATCTATTTCAGTGCTTAATCTATCTGAATTTAATTTCAATCAAGCTTAAGATAATAATGATGCTATTAATAAAATGAACAACGATGACCAATTAACAAAGAAAAAGGTCATTGTTCAACATTTAATATCTTCTAATTGAGAAGATAATAGTGATAATACTTGTTCAAAGGCAAACATCATCTATGATTTTTGATTCTGATGCTAAAAATGATGACTCTATTATGCCATATTCTTCTGAACCTTCAGCTGTATGGAACTACGTAAATCGAGGCGACGACAAAAATTATGCACAACGTCTATTATGTGATAAACGTATATCTACAAATAATTGGTCCACTACAACTCTTCGTCCACATTTTATAGAACAACACAACAAAACTGATTTAATCTTATCGATAGAATGGAAGACATTCATGACATCAACGGCAACTAAAACTTAATAGATTGATTCCATAAACTGGCAGTTGAAGCAATAATTCGTGATAGTTTACTATTTAAAAAATTCAAAAACCCTGATCTTTCAAAATAAATACAAGGAGCCGCACCCGGTAAGAAAAATCATTTGACTACAGACTAATTTCGCTGTTTTAAAAATAATGAAAATAGTATCGTTAAAGCAATAAGAAACAGTTTAGAGTAATATCATTTTATCTAGAAAGACTGCATGCGAAAAATCTCTGATGAAGATCGACTTGACCTATTCAAACAGTATGCGAAACACTGACGAAATACTATTAAACTAATAATAGAAATACATTTCACCTTGTTTAACTAGATTTTCAGTTTTTGATTAAAATGAATTTTCAAACAGAAATCTCGACTAATTTAAATAGAGATATGACAACATACGAGAGTATACATAGCACTCTTTACAGTCATCATAGAGTAAATTCACTATTAGAAGTCTAGATCACACTTTACTACATTAAAAAAAGCTGAGTTTCTGAGTAAAACTTGAAAGTAACATAAGAATGTAACTATTACTGATGGTCTTCTACCTATATAAATATCAGACAATATACAAACATATGAACATTACGGTGTTTTTTATCAACCGTAGACAACATTTTAAAACAATAGTCTATAGTTGCTGAGGTATAAACCGGAAGTTTTTCAATTTATCTTTCATATTCGATTTTGGGGTGCAAACCAATTCATTGTAGCATAGTTATTCGTCGCATTAAACGATTAACAATGTACTCATCACATTAATGTCGTTGATCAATTAAAGAATATTGATACTATGTTCGTAACCATTGGTTTTGGGGGCAAATCGAAACAATCGTTGTTTTCACTTAATGACAGAACACTATGGTACATGAAATTTCCAGCAGCCATCCAAATTTCTTGTATTTTCTGCATTTGATTAACGTCTTACGGCGGCTCAAATTTCTAGAATAATTACATTTAAAACAATTTTAGTTTATATAATAGTGCGAGTAACTTAACAAATCCCATTGATCAAATGAGCATCGGTAGCCCACGTATGTGGTGCATGGCTTATCGTTTACATCTAGTACTTGTGAATGGTTTAGCTGTATGGCCGAAAAAAATCAACTAAGGCTAACGATGCAGATGATTCAGGTAAAACAAAAAAAGCTGTTGACGAAAACTCTGCAAGATTAAAACGTGAAACACGCTGTAGTTATTCTTGCTAATCACAGGAAGATTATTTTATTCTATACGAATCTTTTGAAACACCTTTCATCACTCTCCATTTAGTTAATTGTCCAGAAATTCAATTAGGAAGTAGTTAGGACATTGTAACAAACCCTTATTGATATGCTGCCTGTCATCGCATATCAACATCATCTGTCATAATGTGTAATGATACTTGACTAACTTCTGTCTCCATCTGTGTAGGGGCGAAGGAGTGGCTCCAATTTTTTCTACACTAGAAATCTCACCGCTCCCTTTTCAATGTGTTACACAAAATTCGGTACGAAATCACTTTAAAATCGACCTGATAATTCAGAGAAATATATCTGTGTCTGAAAAAAAAATAATTTTTTATCAACGAATAATACATTCTAATCTGATATCTTGCCAAACTTTTTGACATTGCTTAATATATCGTAATTCTTTTCTAGACAAAGGAGATTATATGTGTCGTATTTGCAATGTAACAAGACAGAAAAAAAAATGACAACGGCTGGAATATATAAAATTTATGCATTGTCCGGCGTTCCTTCCACTACTTAAAAAAGCAGAGAAAAACTGATCGTAATACGCATCAAGAATATATATTATCACAAAAAACACTTGAAAATATTAATGAAACGGTAGTGCAACTTGAAATGTCGTGAGAATTCTTTAAAATATCTTAAACTTCGTAGAGAAGCCCAGTACGATCTGAAATCCTTCACTTTTTTTATTTGTAGAATGACGATGATGATCGTGAATATTCAAATTATGAACTTGGTAATACAAGTATTCAGCAAGTTCGTAGAGCTCTTTTTGCTTTTCTTTGTTTATAAATTTTATAGAGTATCTTTAAAAAGAAGAACATAGAATAAAGTTTAATTTATGCCATATTTTCTATGACACGACAGATCAGCAACAATCACATCTTCGAAAAAATTATTTTTTTCATTTCATACAGTCTACTTATATAGCCGAGAAAAAGCCTCCAAATAATGAAATTATATTTTTTTTCTACTTGGAGAGAGCTGACGGCTACTCTTGTAAACATTATATAGAGATTACCATTTTTCTTACATAGTGTTGTAATTGTCAACAATTGAGATAATTGAGTACATAGCAACGAGGACAATGGCTGAGAAAAAAGTATATGCTTGAAATATGTGTTTTTATATTTATTAATAATCACGTTTACTTTTTCTTTTTTATAGAATATCAATAGTAATGGTTGAAAATTGATAAGCTGTATCTCAAATTGAAGCAAGGTGCAATTGCAAAAATTGAGCACTTGTGAAGAATGAAAAAAATTATCGATGCTGGAAATGTACATTAAAAACAGGAACTCCATAATGATTCGTCTAGATTCAAGCAGAGTAATCAATTTTATTCGTCAATACAATTTTTGGTTGTTCTCAAATCAGTCTAAAACTAAAAGGAACTGACAGGAATGTATCTCTGAAAGAAACTATTTTGGCTTGGGTAAAAAAATAAAATTGTTTACTATATTCAGAATTTCATGCTGATTCTAATCATATAATTCTTTTTCAAAAATATTGAGGAATGAAAAATGGTGTTACTACCAGTTATTCTTTGAAAATTGCTAATTGAATTGAATTGTTAAGTTTTAAAAGCTCACGTATGCTGATTTATCAAATTCATATATTGATTTATAAAAACATTACAAGTATTCTTGGTTTTTTGCTTCATCACTTACTGTCTCATTTCTTCGAATATACATTTTTTCTTGACATTACTGTTTTACAGCAAAAGAAAAGTCTTTTTTTCAAAATTTAATGATCATGAACGAGAATCATGATGACCTAAAGACTTGATATTTTATTCATAAAGATGGCTGTTCAAAATAAAGCTTAAAAATTGAATCACATACTTCGCATTTAGCTCGACTCGATGACTGAGCTAACTAGAAACTGTCAGATCGAATTCAGCCCAGCAATACCCAGCAGTTATGCACATCTCAAAAATCAATGATACATCTCACTATTTTCAACTGTCATTCATTTGTAGATATAGAAATACGAAAAAAAACAGTTCAATCATAATGTAGCAGATTAGCCTACTTGAACATAACGAAAATCATCAAAAGAAGACATTATTTTTGATGCTCATGATGATGAATTATATAACGAAACGATTTAGCACATGAGAAATAAAATTTAATTACTCGAAGAGTGAAAATATGTTTTCATGATGAAAAACAAAACCAGTAATAGATAAAAGGTGATAGAAAAAAGTTAAACCACAACGTATTTGTCGTTTTTTTTCTTTATAGTATTAAGCAATTAGCTCGAATTCAGACACAAATTCGAATACCCAATGTGGCTTTCTATATAAGGCATTCTATACTAAGGTTTTGTAGATGAACTATGATCGCTAGATTTCTAAAGAATCGGATACGATAGTATTTAGATCTTAGAAGACTATCCTTTTAACAATGCTACTTTAAAGAGAAAAGAAATAAGGGCGGTCGCATTTTCTACGACGTTCCCATAACAATTTAAAAGTATCACAAACGCCGAAAAAAAAGCGTTTTTTTTGTCAATTTTTGATGAATTTCTTGTTTTTCATTGTTTTTGTCATACTTTTTAATTTTTAAAGGAAGACCATAGAAAATGCTGTGATCCTCATTTTGTTCTTTTTTGTAAGATAGGATTGGTTTTTGGGACCCGAACCGATCTCATCTCTATTGGATAGAAAGCTCCATAGACTATTAAAGTTTCTATCTGGATTTCAGCTAATTACTTAACATTATGGAAAACAAATAAAAAATACGTTGTTGTTAAATTGTTTCCCACCACCTTATATTATCTATATGTGCTATGTATAACCTCGATATTGGTTCTGATTTGAGTGTAATCAGTGACAAGAGGATGACTAATGAAGTTTTTCACATGCCCCATATACTTCATTGAGTTAAATTCAGATCCAAGGATACGAAAAATTGTACTGCATCCAGGACACTCGTCGAAAACTAAATTAGATAAATGATAATTTCAAGACATTTTTTTATATCAAAAAAGGTTTGTTAGAAAAGAATTGCAACATTGATTTGTATCAACACGAACTATGTAATGGACCAATTCATAGATTAAAATAATCTATTTATATACTAATTTATATTAATGTAATAATTAATTAAATATATATTGATATTTACTAGCTAGTAAACATTCATCTTATTTAACATAAATATCTAAAAAGGAAAAATTACTGTTAAATGATATTGTCATCATGCATTACATTATTATATCATGAAAAGCTGAAGATTTATTTCGATAAAATTTTTTCACTGGGTTTAAATATAGTATGTTTTTGTCAATTGATATTGAACACAGTTCAATTCTCTCATGAATTAATCACTAATTAACTATTTTAATCTATATATATATATAAATGAAAGTTTAAAAACCTAACTAATATTTAAAACAGTCAGTTAAGTGTTTTATATGAATTCAATGCCACAACTACTAGAACTTGTTAGTTCAATAATTTCAAAATGCATAACAACTCGATAGCAGAATTTACAAAAAGAAGAAAATATTGTTTTGCATAATTAAACTAACTCAGTTAACTTATAAAAAGAAAGATTTAATGAAAAATTAACTATTAGCCATAATAGGCTTTCTAAGTATGCAAATATTTATGAGACAAATAAAAGAGAGATGAAGCTCGATGGATTATTGTCAAAAAATAAAAGTAGAAAGATATTTTCAGAAATCGTACAAGATTTCATAATATTTTCGTGAAATAATGGTTATCAATGAGCATCAACAATTTATAATACATAGTGACCAATTGTCCCTCGCATTGTACTTTGCATTGCCTTCTAAAAAATTCTATCGAATCATCTTAATGTTTTTGAGTAAATTTACACAAGGAAAATATTCTATAGGTTTTATATTTGTGAAAGATCAATGTGATAAATATGCAGAGGATGATGTGAGAATTTGACTCATACTATGACTCACTGTTTCTTCCCATTCGATTTTCTGATCGATACATTAAGTGACATAAATATCTACTCTTATAATCTTTCCTTCCATAAAATGTTCCCAAGATTTGTCCTTTAACCAAATTACCATGAATGAAAAATCCCGAAAGAAAAAGAAAGCAAATTTGTCAATGGGAAACTTCCATATTTGTCTTTCTATACCACGTGCTTTATAGTCACTATTATGAAGAAAAAGACTTTAGCAAATGAATTCAAAATATAATTTATGCAAAATATTGCGACTGGAAGTATAATTTTCAAAATATTTATTTTGATAAAGACCATCTTTGATATTCGAAGTACAATATTATCAAGGTACTTAAAGGTCAATTTTATGATAATAAAAAATATTATATGCGTCAATATGATAAACTGGAAATATCCAAGCATTATTTATTTCTTCCTTCCTTTTTGATTCTCTTATAAATAGAAATGCTTCATGAGAGAAATGGATTCATACCTATTGGCTGATTTCTACATGAGTGATTGATTCTATGGCATCTACAAGCAAGTTAAACAAAGCTCTTTGGACAAATATAACTCGACTCAAATTACTAACAAAACTAGACGCGCCAGTTAAATTTATACTTGAAAAATCTCCTTTTGATGATGAGCAAGACGAAGAATGTCCCAAAATACGAGATGAATATTTCATTATTGGACGAATTTTACCAGAGTCAGATATTTTCAAAGAGAGTGCATTTCGAATAGAAATGAAGTTAATACCAACATATCCCATCGAACCACCAGAAGTTCGATTTCTAACACCTATCTATCACCCTAATGTCGCTGCGGATGGTAATTGGACAATAGTTAAAAGAAATATAACTTACTACAAATATTTTATTTTCTATTGATACAGGTAAATTTTGCTATCAATTATTGAACAACGCTTCAAAATGGAAGAATGGAACAACTTTAGTTGAAGTTGTCAAAACTATTGTCAAACATGTTGATAATCCTGATGCTGACTATGCAGTTACTTATGGTAATTTTTTTTTATTTGAACTTCTGCCATTATGTTTCTCTCTTTGTAGAAATAGGCCGGGAATACATTGACAACAGACCAGAGTTCAATCGAAAAGCATTAGAAATGGAGAAAAAACATTTATTACCTCGTAAATGATTGTATTATTTGATATGGACATTCATGCATAATAAGTATCCTTGTAATCGTCATGTATTTTAAGAAACTAAATTGTTCAAAGTGATAAATCATTTGAAGTAAAAATGTTTTCGATTTTTTGTAATTTTACGAATGAATAAGTTGGGAGATTTGTTTAGTAGTTTTCGTTTATTTTTTGCATAAATATAAATGCAGTAGAAATGTACAAGACTGAAAAAGAAGTAATCTTATTATCTTCGCTTTTTTTTTCTTTTTGCAATTATAAATTAACGGGGGCACATAATAAATAAGCCTCTCAGTATTTTGCATCTATTTCACTGATACTTCAGTGTAGAAGAAAAAGTTTTTTTTAGAAAAATATTCCTCGTGAAATTCTCTACAAAACCTAATGAAAAGAGATGTTTCAACGAATAATAATAGAATAATATCAGGTAGACACTACAATGATCAAAAATGGCGTACTGTCAAACGCGCATTTTTGAAAGTTAATTATTGTATTTCTTCTAGAAAACCAGATACGAAAATAAATTCTAATGCAAGTTTTCTGTGTTTTCGAGTGTACTCTTTCTAATTGAGCTTAAAAGAGGATATTCGGATACGATTGCGAGGTCACAGCGGTCAATCTTCTATAAAAATGCGTTTGAATCATCAATTGTTCATGTTATGCACCTCAAACGTTGCAGAAAAACACTTTAAAACATTCTACTCGCAGCGATATGATAGAAAAAATGTTTTTCTTCAACTTAGTAATAAATTTGAATATATAATAATTTTCCATTTATGATAAAAAAATTAAAATTATGATGAGCCTTAATGGAGGATTCTCAGAACGTGAACAAAGGGGAACAAAGAAAAGATTTGTTCGAGTAAATTTAGAGTATGTCAAAAAAGATATTTGTCGAAGCGATAGGGCTTTTCATGGGCTACAAAATGCCCAATTGAGTCTCTTTACATGGGATCGAAAGAGCGGCGGAAAATCGTTAATATGAAAACAACTGCATTGAAAGTGAGTCATTTTGGAGCATTGCAGTGTTGACCGGACTTAATTTCATGGCTAATCGTTCGAACATTTCTTTTCATAAGGTTTTGTAGAGAATTTCACGAGGAATATTTTTCTAAAAAAATGTTTTACTCTGCACTGAAATATCAGTGAAATAGATACAAAATACTGAGAGGCTTATTTATTATGCACCACCCATTATTTAGAAACAAAATAAAATGGTTTTTAAGTATTGTTGTATAGACAATAACATGTGATCGAATTTTATGCAATGGTCGATTTGACATTTGTACATTTTTATTATTATTTCCAGATTGATTTAGTATTAATAGAAATCTAATTATATCGAAACAAACCTATATAATCTTCTTGAAATTCTCAAATAAAATAATTGTTTTGTGTGGGGAGTCTTTTTTTATGTTGGAATTTTCCAGTGAAAATAAGAGTAAATAAATAGATGGTGCACGTTGTCGACTGTTATTTTTTTTCTCGACAGAATGAAAAAAACGATATCGTGAGTAACAAAGATTTAAAAATAGAAGTTTTTTTTTTATGAGACTCTGTCAATTCAGTACTATTCTACACAAAAACTCGTATGTATATATAAAAAAAATTTCTTATATAGATTTTAAAATGATATTGACAAACGATTTGGTTTGTAAAACAAAATAAGCATGAAAATCGTTCTGGTAATAAAAAATCAACATATTTTTCTCATTGTACCTTTTACTTTTATCGTTATTTTTCTCTTTTATTCCTTCTAACAAGAACGAAACAAAAATAATCTATATACAAACATCGTTACATATACTGGTTGTTCGTCTGTCAATCTTTCTTTTTCTTACAATTTCAAATAATAGCTATAAAGGAAGTAAAAAAAGCACGTATTTCGAAAATGCTTTTTAAATTTTGTCGTTCGTCTATCAATAAAATCAACACAAGTTATTCTTTCTCGCATCCATTGCATCTGTGAAAGAACTTTTCTTTTTTTCTTTAAACATTATTACTGAATTATTAGAATCTTTTAGATTGAAAAACAAAATGACTGCATCACAATTAAACAAGGAACTCTACAGCAATATAACTCGACTAAAATTGTTAAATGCAACTACTTCAGATCCTAAGTTTGTACTTGAGAAGTCACCATTTTCAGATAATGGTGAAGAAACAGCAGGGGCTGCTGCTTCAAGCAAACCAGATATCCTAGTTATTGGACGAATTTTTCCAGAATCAGAAATATTTAGAGAAGGATCATTTCAAATTGAAATGAAATTAACACCAAATTTTCCATTTGATCCACCAGAAGTACGTTTTCTTAATAAAATTTATCATCCAAATGTTGCAGAAGATGGTAAGAAAAAAATTGAACTTGATTTATATGAAGTTTTTCTTTTAGGTAAATTTTGTCATGAACTATTAAAGAAACATGCTAAATGGTCAAATAAAATATCTTTAGTTGAGGTTGTTAAAGCTGTTGTACAACATATCGACAAACCTGATATTGATTATTCACTTAGTCTTCGTTCGTTCTTACTTTTTTAATCTTTACTTAAATTTATTTTTATTTCTTTTGTAGAGCTTGGCCGTGAATATATGGAAAATCGTCCTGAATTTAATCGTAAAGCTTTGGAATTTGTCAAAAAGTATGCACTATCACACAACTGAAGATTCTATAGACTTGTTTTTTCAACGAACTGAATCTTGCTTGCTATTGTCTAATATATCACAGATTTGTTTTCGTAAAATAATTTCGAATGTTATCATAATTGATAGAAAAATACATTCAGATTTTCATCATTTCATTCTACAATGTATCTTGATTTTAATCGAAAAATTAAAATTATGAATGATCTTTTAGTCAGTCTTTGAAGTTTTCATTAAGTAATAAAAAATAAATGTTCGAATACTTTTTTTTCTGATACTACCTTTAGGCAAGTTAGAAATCTCAAGAGGATTCTTGTTCTATTCATAAATGAATTATACTATAAACGTTTTATTACAAGAATCCACAATATCGTTAACATTTATGTTATAAACATGTATTCGATTGATTAAACTGGAAAGTTTTATAAAAATCTTTCTAATTAACTCGTTTCATGGTTTTTTTTATAGATGTCGCTGGTAGTCAATTCATTTTTGCATTTTATATAATAATATACTTTAAAATCAAAGGTATTCTTCTATATCCTTAATTGAAAACCAACATTTAGATATCAAAGAAGGAACAGGTTCACGTAACGTTCCTTCTCATCTAATTAATCGATAGACCATGGTGAAGTAATACAAACGAAAAGAAACAATTATATTCTAAGGTGATAATGATTGTTTTATTCAATTACCTTTCTTAGTAGAGATAGTGAGACCTGTCTCTATTTTCTTTTTGTAAGATCGTCTTTTTGAAATATTTAAATCAGATATTAATCAATTAAGAAATTTTAGAAGATGTCTTTCAGATATAAGTTTATTCGAAATAGATGAATCCTTTCTATCTAAATTCAGTCATTGAAAAAGATTCGATTCTTGAGAATGATCTAATAAATATCTATAGCAAAAAATTTCAACATTTTTTTCAATCTTGTTTTTTAACAAGTAATCATACTCAGTACTGTCTTTAATTACTCTTCTTCAGTTCCATAAGAAAATTTATTTTTATTAATTCAGCTAGCATCTGTCTAATACATAAATCTTATTTGGAACTCTTACAAAAAACTTTCACTATAAATTATATGTCTTTGCATCATTCAAAGAGTAACACCTTGAAAAATTGTTCTTTCATATCACATAAAATACAGGTTATGCCAAAATTATAGACCCCCCTATGTCTTGTTGAAGAAAACTTAATTTATGTTTTCAAAAGACGTCTGTTTGATTAGCGTACATATTCGTTAGATAGATGAATATATGTACTAAATGTACATATCTATGTGTGTGTGTGTGTGAAAAATTCAAATAAAATAAAATGTATACTCACATTCATTTCCAGATGCTTATTTATATTGATCAATTAAAAAATCCAGGAGTTACTGAAATTCAATTAGAAGTATTTATTTAAATATTTCTTTCCTATTTAGTTCTTTTAATACCAAAAAACAAGCAATAATCTAGATATCTCCAATCGTTACAATTCAAGAAATAAAATCTCGTCTTTCAAAACACTCAAATATTCCAATAAATCAATAAAAATTAGTTCTAAAAGATAAACCATTACATGATGAATGTTTAAGTGATCATCAAATAACTAATAGTTCGAAAGTACATTTAATTCTTTCAACACAAATTTCGACAAATAAATCGATAAATAATGCATTTTTTTTTAATGAAGTACGTTTATTTACTTCAAAATCCAAATGAACGTGAAGCGTTTGTAATCCCTTTTCAAAATCTAAATTGAAAAAACATGAAAGAAAAACTCCCATAAGAAATAAACATTTTTCTTTCTGTTTATAGAAAATGAAAGATGCGATTGATCGATTAAGTTTGAATGATATTGAAAACATGATGTACTGATCGATTAGATCAAATCGTCTGAAATATTATATATTAATCATCGATCTTGAGTAATCATACCCACTTCCGTTCTTTTTTATTTTACATTTTAATTGTTAAGATGAAAACATTTTAAAAAAATTCTTGTCCATTTCCTTTGATATCTTATTGCATATTCAAAGCTGCGAGTCAATGGCAACTATCGGATAAGGCAAATCTGTTCTATTTTAATAGAATGAAATCTCAAACGAAAATTTCTTCTTTGGACAATGCTAATGCACATTGTTTGTGAATTGACGAATATAAACTTTGTTTTTAATTGCACATACATCAGAAAAATATTTCCTATAACAATATGAAACAATCTGTTCTCGTTTGAATTCAAACGAACAAAACAATAGAGATAATTTGTTAATGATTCAGCTCCATTTCGTTGACTAATTATGACCAATTTTTCGCAAAATTTCCGATTGTTTGACACGTTTTTTTTCTCGTTTCGTCAACAAATGTTTTATTTCCATTTTGTCGACAACTTGTAGGTGTCGATGTGAGTGTGAATTAATACTACAGAAATATACCCACACCCACAACCTATTCATAAATCTTGAGTGGGTGAGGGCGGGACACTCATAGCCACATCGCACAATGTCACGTTACAAATCTTCAACCTACGAATACCATTTAAAATTCGAATATTCGAATTATAAATTTAAAAAATTTTTCAAGTTGAAGAAGTTTTAAAACTTGAATTGAGTTAACGAGCTCTACACTACTGGTTTTAACGGTAGATTTTGCACGTCTGAATCTAAATATGGCAATGGTTTATTTTTTCAATATTCATTTTTTTTTAGTCAGCAATATTTTTATCTGCTATGAAGAATTGAAATGGTGAGTCAGTTTTATCGTATTTATTAATATCTATAAATTCTTTTTCTATTTACTGCAAAAAAAATGGCTTTTCAATTTAAATTATACCAAAACGGTTTATCAACTTTCTGAATTTCAAATTGTCATCCCTGATTTACTTCTTTACTATGACAGACATCGGTTAATATGAGTTCAACAGTTTCGCGGTCAAAGAAAAAAATAGAGATTTTTCTAATCCAGATAATGACTATGATAAAAGTAAATTGACAGCGTTTGGTTCTGTTTGTTATTCAGCTTTGTACGGTTATTCTTAAAAGAAAGGAAAAGTAGGATTCTATAGTTCCACTATTTCTCCAGTGGAATTCCACAAAATGTATTTTATTTCAAACCATTTAAGCATGGTGATCACAGTTTAGAGCTAGCTCCAGCTGTAAGAAAAATAATACATTGATTTAGCATGTTTTTTAAGAAACAACACGTAGAAAACTGGAAAACATCTCTATAGCGCATGAAACTGTATTCTGTGATGCCACTTGTTTCAAAAAACATCGGCTTTCTGCAAAAAATTGAAAAATTTCCGCGAAATTCAGCTCCTGTCCGTTCCATCCGACATCGCCATTACTATGAATATGGCTGATAGATAAGCAACTGGCATACACTTAAATAAAATGCCTCGTATTTATATGTCGCTCGTGATAGTATCGCTCACTCTACCACGAAAATGTCTTGCAGTCAGAATGTCTCTCACCATAAATGTATCGTAGTCTATTGGTTCACTAATCATTCAGTGTTTTGTTTCGCGCATATAACTAGCTATAAACAATTCTATTCAGTATACCCAACTTATACATTTTCGTATATATTCTTTTTCTAGATTAGTCATTTATATCCGAGAACATGTGAAGAAATTGATCATGAATGAACTGCCTTGAAGTAGTCTGGTCGAGATCAAATCGACTGAGCACTGGAGATCTTAAGATCTTATTGTCTAAATCTAAGTATAGGTTATTGCTAATTCGACTTAAACTAAAAAAGGAGTCATTTTCGATTTTTTAGAAAAAATAATCGACGAATCGAAAAACAGATTCGAATCACGGTTTCAGAATATATCGCATGTGTTGCAACGAACGCATTGTATCGTACTTTAATACGTCGCAAAGTACGGCACTTGCGACCCATTTTATCTGAGTGTGTATCATTGGTGGAGTCATATATAACTATGTAGGTTCGAAATCAAAAAATAAATAAAAGGTAAAAACTCGTGTCTTTTTAGATTATAATGTTATAAAAATATAAAAATATAGCTATGGCAACTTCATCTTCATCATACGTTAAAAGTGAATCAGCAGGACCATTTGATTCTGATCATGAAGAAAATTTATCATATACACTTGAGCATAATTTACCAAATCAAATAGATTCAATACCTCCATCATCATCATCGATTTTTATTGATGCACCTGTTCTTCCATCAAATGAAACACCATCTGAATTTTTACAAGGTTTTTCTGCACCGATCCCACCAGTTTATATTAATATGAGTATAAGTAAACAAACAAGTGATGTTGATTTTGCTGGACAAATAACAACAACAGACCCACCTGTATCACCTTCATATACTGATTATTCATTACCTTCAACAACAGTTCAGAGATATAGTCATTATCATCATCGTCCACATCATTCACAGAATCAAAATCGTTATCCATATGTACCTTATTATGAGCGACGATCTGCTTTTCGACGACTAAGAACGCCAAATGGTATAGCAAAAAAAATTAGCAGATTTTTATTGAAAATATACTTTCTAGCCCCCTCAATGCCAGAACACTTATTGCCTGGTTATACACAAGATACAACAGCAACATCAACAAATAAAAATGGTAGAGATTATAACGAAAATAAAAAAGAAGAAGGTAATTTATGAAATATTTCTTAGAATATATTTCATCTCTTCAGTTACTTGATCATGAAATAAAAATCTTAAATGATATGTTCTACAATTCTATTCTTTTCCTGGTTCGAAATTTTCAATTAAATTGACAATTTGAAGATGAGCTATTATTTAGAAGAATGATTAGTGAAGGTGTTGGCATTTTTTGATAGAAATGAGCATCTAATGAACAGAGAGTTGATTGAGAACAAGCAAAATTTCGATAACCTAGATAATAGAGAAGAGAAGTGTCAATAACATTGGATGATCATAATACTGATTGACTGCTAGAGAGCACTCTAACAAAGATAATTGTATATGCCTCTAAATGCATATGCTTGTTTGTGTGTGTCTTTCTTCTTTTTTTTCGTTCTTTTTCTGTTATCTATCGTCTTGTACATCCGCACGCTAAGATAAAATGTGTTATACTTTGCAACACAATACATGAGTCATTTAAGTACGATACGATACGCTCGTTGCGACATATTCTGAAACCACGATTCGAATCTATTTTTCGACTCGTCGATTATTTTTTCTAAAAAATCGAAAATGACTCCCTTTTCAGTTTCAGTCAAATTAGCAATAACCTATACTTAGATTTAGACAATAAGATCTTAAGATCTCCAGTCCTGGTCGATTTGATCTCGATCAGACTGCTTCAAGGCAGTTCATTCATGATCAATTTCTTCACATGTTCTCGGATATAAATGACTAATCTAGAAAAAGAATATATACGAAAATGTATAAGTTGGGTATACTGAATAGAATTGTTTATAGATAGTTATATGCGCGAAACAAAACACTGAATGATTAGTGAGCCGATAGACTACGATACATTTATGGTGAGAGCCATTCTGACTGCAAGACATTTTCGTGATAGAGTGAGCGATACTATCACGAGCGACACATAAATACGACGCATTTTATTTACGTGGGCTGCTCTATTCATTGATATTGTTAAAAGAAATAATTATCATCTTAATTAAAGAAGAAAGAAAACAATTATTCAATCTCTTGATGGTTTTGATTGATGAGTTACCATTTTCTGAAAGTTTCTCGTTGGATGTAGATGTGAATATCTATCGTTATTTTATCTCTTTTTTTTTGGAGTCTTTTGGTCCATATGAATGTAAACAAGGAAATAGAAGAAAAAATTAGCAGCTGGGTATGAATTGAATAGAATGAAGTGTGTATAATCATCTGGGTCAATGTTATTGTTTTATAGATTCTCATTCATACCGAAATGAGCATATATATGTATCATAGGAAAAAAAAGTGAATCATATGTTTGACTATTGTTCAGTAAATTCTATAGATTTCTATTCATGCCTAATAATCAATCATGTTTTCTTTTTGTTTCTTTATACTTGGTATATTGTTTTTAGATCAACGACCATCAACAAGCTTTTGGGTTATTTTACGTTTGATTTTATTTGTTCTTGTGATTGAATTTATAGAAGCAATTGAAACAGCACTTACTGTACCGATTTTAACTTCACTACATGTAGACGAATCGTATGTTTTTTTTAAATTTTACGTTTTATTTTAAGTTTTTATTAATAAAGGTACTATTCAATGGCTTGGCTTATAAGTCCAATTCTTGGTTTTTTTTTTCAACCAATTGTTGGGATGTGGAGTGATACATGTAAATGTCAATGGGGAAGACGAAGACCATTTATTCTAGCATTTGCCATTGGTATATTTATTTAGAAAATATTTATTTGAAACAAAAATAAAATTTATTGTTTAAGGTGCTTATATCGGTATTGCATTGTTATTGAATAGTTCGGATTTCGATGCACTTTTCGGTGATTCAACTATATCTGAGAAAGTTAGTTTGCCTTCAGTTTTACGTAGTTTTTACTTTATTTTTTGGAGATTCCAATTAGAGCAGTTGTATTAACAGCTGTTGGAGTTACTTTAATTGGTAAAAAAAAGAAGAATAAACAATTATGTTTGATTGATTAATTGTGGAATATTATTTAGATTTTTGTGCGGATAGTGCTAATGCACCTATACGTGCTTATTTGATTGATACAACAAATCAATCGGATCAAGAACGAGGATTTACTATACATGCTATTCTTGGTAAATGAATGAATTTTTTGAAAAAGTATTCTTTTTTTGTTTTTATTTAATTGTAGGAGGTAGAAAATGATGATATGTTGGTAATGAAAACAATATTTATTTTAAATAGGTTTTGGTGGAGGTTTAGGTTTTATTGTTGGTACAATAAAATGGACACATATTTCGATGTTTAAGAAAGGCGGTAAAAAAAAAATATTTCAAATTTGAATGAATTATTTTTGATGTAGGTGGTGAATTTAGTGTGATTTTTTATATTGCTACCTTTTTATTTATTGTATGTACAATATCAACATTAACAAGCGTTCGTGAAGAACCACTTATAGCATCATCATCACGTGATAATGGTGATACAAATAATTCAAATGATGATGATGAACAGTCAGAAATAGAAACTGATGAAAAGCGTCCATTACTTTCACCTCGTCGAAATAGTTCACGATTATATAATTCATCAAATAAACTAATTCGTTCAACAGCAAATATATATTTTCGTGATTTGAATAAACAAGATGGATTTGTTGAAATTGATTCAGCTACAGGTGAACGTATTCCTCATGATCATGTTGTTGAGAGACCATGTGAAAATATTTTATTTAAAACGTTCCAAAATGCTCCTCCAGTTACAGCTGCACGAATATCAAATTCCGATGCATTCAATCCCACTACCATAGAAACACAAGAATTCGACGCTGAACTACACCGAAAAGCAAAATTAGTCAAATTAGGTATTCAATCTTTTTCAAACTTCTTCACTTCATTTTCTCTTTTTTTCATAATTAAGGTTTTATGCGACGTCCCGCATCTCAAGACAGTGATGATTGTGATGACAAAGATAATGTAACAATTAAATCAATGATTATCTCAATGGTTCGAGTATGTATTTCCTTATGTTTATTATACAAAATATTCTTTTAAAAACAAAAAAACACAGATACCTGCTCGATTATGGAAGTTAATGGTATGTCAGGTGATTGGTTGGATTGGTTATTTTGCTACTCATTTGTATTTTACTGACTTTGTGGCTATAGTAAATATCGAATATTTTATCGAAATAATCTTGATATTTTCTTTCATTTTTAAAGGAAGTATATAATGGTACAATGAAACATGGCAGCGATGATCCCGGTTTTCTCCGTTATAAATTAGGTGTGACAATGGGTTGTTGGGGTTTATTTGTATTTTCAGCTAGTGGTGCCATTTATGCTTGTAATTTAAAACAGAAAAATATTTTTCTTTTTGAATTATTATATTCTAGTCTGTTTGGAACGATGGTTAGCAAACAGATTTTCTTTAAAAGCGCTATATTTTATTGGTTATTTCATTTATGTACTTGGTTGTACGGTGAATTTTTTTTTTCATCAAGTTACTGTTAATATTGCAATGTGTTTTACTTGTAAGTTTATTTTTCATTTAATTTATTATTATTATTTATTATTATGAGAATTTCAGTTGGAATATTAGTTGTATCATTAAATACTCTTCCTTATCAAATGCTTTCGCAATTTCATGCAGATAAAACAGTAAAGATTAATTGAAGTGTTTCTTATTTTGAATAAAATGTGTTTTATAGTATAGAAATAGGGATGGATCAAAACGTGGCATCGGTATTGATTGTGCATTATTGAATAGTTGTCATTTTCTTGGTGAATTGATAGTGGCTGCTTCCTTAGGTCCATTACTAGCAAAAACAGGTGTAAATTACTGTATGGTAATAGCTGCTGGATTTACATTAATTGGAAATATATGTATGTTTTTCTTATTCTATTTTAAAAATTGATATGTATCTAAAAAGACAATAGTATTTATTTGCATATGTATTTCGTAATTTCTTTTTATATATTTAAATGAAACATCTGTGATGATTATACAAAGTCAGTTTTCTGTATTTGTAGTGATTTTTTCTTTTCATGCCATTTATTTATTGTATTGTATTTCTTATAAATATGTTCATATGCCCCGAGATTTATTCATTCCAAATGAACATGATTTTTTAATTCAACAAAGATATATCAAGTGATTTATTGTCTTGATAAAAATAGATACAATTCGTTTCTATCTCTGTGACGGTAAAGCTACTTCTCTAGTTTGTCGTTATAGTACCTCCTTATCTAATGTAGAAAAAACTCGTAGTGGTATGTATGTCATATTCTGCAATGTTTTTGTGACATATAATAAGATGAAGCTTAACATGTACGAAAGCTGACATTTAGGCATTAGAGAATGATGAATGAATTTATTTTGAAAAAAGCACAAAGTAATCTTCAGATATTTGTATTGTTAGTAAGTGTTCAGTGTTTTCTGAAAGAAGAAACTTCATGATGAGAAGATTCATCGCCGCCAATGTTTGATCGATTCTTTGAATTGTGTTCTGTAAAATTCCGATGGAACAACGAATATAACGAAAATACTTACGGATGGAATAATTGACATGATATAACCCGCAAGATATAGCCATGAACTATGGTTGTTTTTCACACATCTTGATAATGTTGAAATTGGCAGACGAGATAACGATAGAATGACTAGAATTACTGGACTTATAATGAGATTTTTGTGTTCGTTCAATTGTTGGCGCAGATGTTGTTTAAAGTTTAGCCGTTTTTGGATTCTTACTCGTCGACCAACACCAGTAAAAATAATGAGTAAAGCAGAAAAGAGATTAGCACAGGAGGGACCAAAGAAATGAAACAATAAGATGACTGTATTGTATATATGAATCGAACGATAATAAGAAAGAACACACCATAGACGTTGCTCTTCAATGTCATCAGATATATCGCGATATTGAGGTTCATGAATGATATATGCTGTTATTAAGAATGGGCGATGAAAATTACCCACCGTGCAATTCGTTTCCTTAACATTTTATTAAAATTGACTCCTTTGTATATCGTCATCGACCATTCGAGAGCTACACATGCATTGAACCAATTGTTCGTATATAAACAAAGTTTAAGAAAGAATTCGATTAATATACAAACTAGTCGAAAAACCACACGACCAATTGATGGATTAATTTAAGTCAAAACAAGAAATCAGAATTTAAATGCAAAAAAACACACTGTGAGAAAAGAAGTAACTGATGATGCAAGAAGATATATTCGACACCCAACTTCTCTTGAACTTTTGGTACGAAATGTCAGAATGGAGAGACCACTATTGATTAATCCAGCAACAAATATAATTATCATAACTGCTGAACTCCATTTAATCAAATTTGTTTGATCATTCATCGTTGTATATGGTTCGATTTCATAACGCAAGATATGGGTGTGGGTGTGTGGGGACGAAACAATACCAGGGTGTGAGTGTGGGTGTGGGTAGAGCCCTGCAGGGTGCACATAACCTGCCCTGCCCTGCCCTGACAGGGCAGGGCAGGGGCAGGTTACAGGGCAGCACTGTCATAACCTGTTAACCTGATATTAATTTGTCGAATCAGATATAATAGACATCATTTGAAAAGTTTTACACGAAGAAGAATATCGAAGTATAAAACGACATAAAGTGGGAGAACTGATGACTGAATCAGATTGGTTGTAATAATATGCAACAATAACATATGTTGCTAGTGTATCCTCTACATATAGGCCTATTTAGTTGTACATATAATTTTCTAGTATTAAGACTTAAATAATTGTTTTCCTTTTAACTATCATCATTAATATCTAAAGTCATTATAAATATCGTCTTGGTTTACGTCTTTTTAAAGTAAAGTTGATGTCGAATTCAAAGAAAAATATTGAATTGAACAAGAAAGCGGTGATAGAAAAACTTAAAAAAGGTGAATTTTTTGCTAAAGTAGAACCACCATCATCATCACACGGTGCGTTTTGGGAACACTTATTTCGAATCCAGTCTTCTGAAAATGAATATCAACCATTTGTTCAATGTCAGTTATGCCATGAAATATTAGCATATTCAATGACTAATGGAACTTCTACTATTAGTAATCATGTTAAAAATTGTCTCACTAAATTAAATAAACCAAAGAACAACAAAACTCTTGATGATTTTGGGGTGTGGGTGTGGGTGTGGGTGTGGGTGCGGGTGTGGGTGTGGGTGTGGGTGTGAGTGTGGGTGTGGGTGTGGACGTGGGTG